TTCCATACTTCCTTTCGTTCATTATATGTTTCTCTCTCTCTCTCTCTCTCTCTCTCTCTCTCTCTCTCTCTCTCTTTATCCCACTCTCACTCCAGTCACTCTCTATGAATTTCCTTCTTGTCATATTTGCTGCAGTGGGTTGCATATCCAAGTGATTTTTGAATCGCGATGACTGATGTTCAATTATGTTTGCATCTTGGAGGGGTCCCCATTCATTAGCATCTTTTGTCTTGTCTCATAATGTCGACTTATTATTGTTATTCTTTTGCTTTTTGCTGATTCCCTTTTGCTCTCCATCTATTCATTTCGAGAAAGTTGTGTATCTTATGAAGTTATGTATGAGTTTCAATTCGTCTCTTTCTACGGAGTATAGTTGCCATATACACTATCAGACCGTTGAAGTAATGCTGGTTCATGAGTCTGCCATCGAATCCAATTTATATAAATCCGTACAACTTTTTCAACCAAACCCATCCAGCCCGAACTCCTCGAGTAAAATACAGTACAGTACAAAAAGTCACCCCAAAAGAACCCTCCGCTTTCCACCGCCTATAACGCCTAAAGCAGAGTATAAACGAAGAACCTCAGTACCAATTATTCCCAGCCTCACCCAGCTTCTTCCCCTTAGGATTCATTGAAAGAATCCTCTGCCCAGGCAAAGTATCATCCGTAATAGCCGACTCAAAGATCCCCGAAATAGCTCTCTTCCCTATCTCCGCAAAAGAATCGTACCCCTCTCCCGCCTCGTCCCCATTTACCGCCGCCCACTCCCTTGACAATCGTGGCGACCGCCCATTCCCCAAATCACTCCACCGTGTGACCACAATCGCATGCCGGAATACGTTGCGCTGCAGACCACTCCGGTCCTCTGTGAGCTTTACCTCAACAAGATACTCGGAGGGACACTCGGGGCAGCGACGAATGGGCCGACACTTGCCGCAGAGCGAGGCGAGGGCGTGGGGTTGTGGGTTCGACCGTGGTACATGTCCTTTGCGCGGTGTTCGACGCCCTGCAGGCCACCTGTGGTGCGGGGGACGGGGATGTGGCCGAGGGCGCATTTGCAGACGTGCATGAGTTCGCCATCGCGCCAATGCGCGCAGACAGAAAAATATGGCCAGTAATCGTCGCGCGAGTAAAGGAGCATTCGCTGTTCACTGACACTGAGGCCTGGGTCGGCGAAGCAGGTGCTCACGACCCGCATGAGCAGCCGGCCTTGGTGGATGTGGTATCGGGTCTGATGGGACCAGCCGTCCCGGCGCCAGCGACGGCATAGGGAGTCGGGTGGGATACCGTAACGCGGTCCGAATCGGTATGCGCGCATGACGAGCTGGTGGAAGGTGAAGTAGAGGACTCGACCGTGGGTGATGCGGTGGCGGGGTGCTGGGCGGGCGTTGTTGCGGGCGTGGGGCAGTCAAAGAGCGGGTTGACTACGTCTGCGGGCTCGAGTTTTTCGTGGCCTTCTTGTGTGCGGCGATGGTATTTGCCACAGGGGAAACAGAGGAGATGGTGAGGGAGTAGTCTGTCTTGTGAGATGAGGAAGTCCGCCTTGTAGTCGTGGTTTTCTGGGACGTTTATAGTTATCCAGGGCTCGCGGCCCAGACGAGTGTATAGTGTTCGGCTGGAGAAAGCAAGACTGGCTCTCTCGGCGGGGTTGAGATACTCAGTGACCTTGGCCCAGAGGTCCGATGTTAAGCTGGCAATTACGGGCTCGCCTGGAGGTCTGTTGTCGAATTCGTGTAGTTGCGCGTTTGGGTCGGAAGGATCGATATCTCCCACACCGATTGAATGCAGCATTGCGGTATGATCACGGATTTCGCCTAGCTGTGTATCTTTCTGAAGGTTTACTTCTTGGTATTTGAGTCGGTGGGCCTCCAATGGGGCCAGTGAAGGCATTTCCGGGACGTCATCTTTGCTTGGTAGAGCTTCTCTTAGATTCGGAGTCGATGCTTTCCGGAGGACCTGACGGGATTTCTTAGGTCGGAGGGCGCCGGCGAGGAACGCCCGAAAGCCACCGCGCTTTTCTCCCGGGCTTTCTGCAGACATTTTGAGAGAATTGGCCGTCGAGAGGTGAGATGAGAGAGAAGTTCCGGAGAGGGCGGAGTGGATACCAAAAGAAACAAGCATACCGGAAACTGCGGAATGCGACGGGAGCATGTGATCCAGCCACTGTGGCTGGTGCGTCGCCAATATTTATGTTCAAGGACGGAGTTAACAGTACGGAGTAGTATATATACATATACACGAGGCGTATCCAATTGCATTAGGACTACATATACAGCCTGATCAGACATTACACAGTATCACTCTGGACACAACGGAAACAAAGCGCTCATCAAGCTGCGTTAAATCACAACACTTTTTTGTTCGCACGCTTACGAGAAGCGCTTCTCAACGGCCTTCCAGTTGATGACATCCCAGATGGCGCTGAAGTACTCGGCCTTGCGGTTCTGGTATTGAAGGCTAACTCGGCATTAGTTATTGACCAGGAGACATTCCGTTAAAGAAAACTTACTAGTAGGCGTGCTCCCAAGCATCAATACCGAGAAGAGGCTGGAACTGGCCAACGACAGGGTCCTGGTTCTGGTCGGAAGTTAGCTACCTGTATCCTGAGGCGCTCATAAGGAGAACTTACAGCATAGGTCTTGATTCCGATGTTTCCGGTCTGCTTGTCCTTAACTAGCCAAGCCCATCCGCTTCCCTGAATGCCAGCGAGGGCGGCGTTCATCTTGCTCTGGAACTCTCCCAAGCTGCCGAAGCTGTCGTCGATGGCCTTGGCCAAAGCTCCAGATGGGGGCTCACCACCGCCCTGGCTCTTGGGGGCAAGGTTCTCCCAGAAAAGAGTGTGGTTGAGGTGGCCACCGCCGTGGAAGTTGATCAGGGGCTTGAGGTTGATCTGGGTAGTGATATCCTCCTTGGCGACAGCCTCCTGGAGCTGTTCGATGGCGGCGTTGTAGCTGTTGACATAGGTCTGGTGGTGGTTCTTGTGGTGAAGCTCCATGATCTTTCCGGAGATAGAGGGCTCAAGGGCGCCATAGTCATCTGTTATCCAGTCAACCAACCATCGCATTACGTGCTTTCGGGGCGCAATGAGCGAAAATCGCAACACATCTACACTGCCAAGATAGAAGAGAAAGAAGACCGAATGGAAAAGAACACAACAGGCGAGCAAATTGACAACATTCAGGGAAGGGGAGAGCCATACAAGCCAGGTCAGGCAGAGTGGCCTTGCCACGGGCAAAGGTCAAACCCGCAACACCCGCAGCTTTGGGAGTAGCCGAAGCTCCAGCGCGAAGAGCGGCACGGGCAGAGGTACGGATAAGAGAGGCAGCCATGGTTGATATGGATTTTTATGTATCAATGGAATTGAGTTAGGTTTACAAAGTAGTGACGAAAGTAAAAGAGAGGAGAGGGTAAAGAAGAAGAGAAGAAGAGGAGGAGAAGAAGTGAAAATAACCGGAAGGGAGATTCGATGCAACGAACGTCATTGTTGCTCGGCCTCTCGGACTTGATTTTTCCCCGCGCCGAAATGTCCGATAATCAACTTTCCTTTCTCTCGTTATCGTGCGTATCTCAACCGACAGCTCCTTCATGGACCTCAAACGTGTCGCTTGACCGTTTCATTGCCTTTTTCATCTATCCGACTACTCTGAGCTACCGCACACACCTTGTCCTAACATCTGCGATCGGTCATGGATTCGGATTCTCCCCCGGCTTCCCCATCCGCCGGCCAAAAGCGTAAAATTGCCGACATGAGCTCCGACGAGGAAGATTTTCGCCCCACGATGGGCTTCCGCGGGTTCGCTAGAGCATTGTCACGCTCTGAGTCGCCTCCGTCACTTGGTGGCTTAGGTAGTGCTCATCGCAATCCCTGGGGGAGCAACACGCAGCCAGCTACTCCCAGAGGCGGCGCCAGCAATGCCGGTAAAGGAACCAAGGGAGGAAACTCCTTCGCCGCGCGCATGATGGCCAAGATGGGTTATGTTGAGGGTCAAGGTCTCGGTTCGAGTGGTCAAGGTATCGTCAACCCGATTGAAGCCCAGGCCCGGCCACAGGGTGCTGGTTTAGGTGCTGTTCGAGAAAAGACAAAGCAAGCCCGGGAGGAAGAAAAACGGGCGGCGACCTTACGAGGTGAAGTGGTAGAGGATAGCTCAGATGAAGAACGAAAGAGGAGGCAGAAAAAGAAGGAGGCGCGCAAACAGGGAAGCCGGAGCGGTACTGGCACACCAGTACCACGCGCGAAGCCTCAATTCCGTACAGCTCGAGAGATGGAGGAAGATATGGCTGGTCTTGAAGTACCAAATGTTTTGAAGTCGTTGGTTGATGCCACGGGGAAGGAACAGCGAGTGTTGACCTCTACTGCCGGCTTGATGACTCCGTCTGAATTCGTTAAACCTGGTGAAGGTGAAGCTCTCAAGATCGCACAACGGGCGCGCCATGATCTAGAGGCTTTTGCAGATGAATGGAAAGGCCTGACTGAAAGAAAGAAGTTTATCGATCTGGAGGAGGCACAGCTTGTGGAGCAAATGGATGCACAACAACTCCGTATGGACCAGCTAACAGAGTTGGTCGCTGCCATTGGGGGCTTGGAAATCTTCCAAGATGAGAACACGCGGGGACGCTTCGACGAAGTCACTGAGAAGTTGGAATCCTTAGAAATCAAATACCGGAATGAAATTGATGAATACCGCCTCCCCGAGACAGCTGTTGCGGCCATTCATCCTCTGTTCCGCCAAGCGATGGAGGAATGGGAACCTCTTCAAGATCCAACATACCTCGTGTCAAATCTTCGTCGCCTTCAGCCCCTTCTATCCCGGAAGAAAGACGATCAAAATGCACAGCGGCAATCTACTTCACCCTATGAAAGTATGATATACACTTTGTGGCTACCTCGTGTGCGCTCGGCACTCCTGAACGACTGGGACGTTTATGACCCAAGACCAGCCACCTCTCTCGTTGTTGCGTGGAAAGAGATTATACCACACTTTGTTCTGGCGAACGTCCTCGATCAGCTCGTGGTTCCGAAGCTCACTGGTGCTTTGAAAGAATGGAAGCCTAGAAGCAGCAGCAGACGGCACACTTCCTCACATCATAATTCTCGCTTCCCATGGTGGCTATTCACATGGCTACAGTACCTTGATGACCGACACACGAACCCAAGACAGCCTACAGGTCTTCTTTCAGATGCGAAGAGAAAATTCCGTGTTGTCTTGGATTCATGGGATCTCAGAAAAGGCTTGGTTGATGGCATTCAGCTGTGGCGCGATGCGTTGGGCTCGGAGTTTGATGTATGCCTACGAAACCACCTCTTACCACGACTGGGTCGCCATCTTCGTGAAGATTTTGAAGTGAACCCACAAGACCAAGATGTCTCAGCACTGGAAAACATCTTTAAATGGAAAGATTTCTTCAAGCCTAACGTCTTCGGGTTATTGTTGGTCGCCGAATTTTTCCCCAAGTGGCACAATATTCTGTATATTTGGCTCACCAATGACCCGAACTACGAGGAGGTCGGCGAGTGGTTCTCTTGGTGGCGAACCCAAATCCCCGAAGATGTCAACGAGCTGACTATCGTCGACGACGAGTGGAAGAAAGGTTTGCGGACCATGGACCTTGCATCTCGTTTGGGTGATCGCGCTGCTGCAGAGCTCCCGCCCCCATCATCCACCACTGAAGAGCAGATTCCTGAGGAGAAGCCCCATGTGCCAGCAGAAGCACCATCTACGAAAGCTCGCAAGCCCAAGGTCGTGGAAGAGGTCGCCTTCAAAGACATCCTCGAAACCTGGTGCACAGAACAGGGCCTCATCATGCTCCCATTGCGAGAAGCCCATCCGCAGAACGGTCAACCTCTTTTCAGAATCACAGCCAGCGCTACCGGAAAGGGTGGTGTTGTGGCCTTTGTCCAGGGCGACGTTGTTTGGGTGCAGAACAAGAAAACAAAGGATATTTGGGAGCCGATGGGGTTGGAAGATCAGCTTGTGGAGCGTGCAGAGAGCAGATGATATCCCTAATCTTTTTTGTTATATTAGTCTGGTTCTACAGTTTTGATCTGGTTTTCACGATACCTTGCACTTAGATATCCACTTATCATGATTACATTGATATACATATAATTATAGAAGTGGCGGAAGACACCTTCAAACCATTGAACAGATCATCGAGTTGCATGCATGTACCAGAAACAGTAAACGCTCGTCAACGTCAACGCTAATACAGTGTAAAGAGACAAGACACCCATACGTCAACAGTCGCGTTACCACACCCAGACGAGCAATATATCTCACACGGAACGATGGCTAATACGAAGAGAACATAGTTAATCATACAGTAGTAATGGCAGAAAGAAGGCTACAAAGTAACTCTCAAGAATAAAATTGGGCTAGAGAGAGCTATGATCAGAGCAACGGGCTTGCCTCCTTTTGGTTCCCTTTTATAAATCATATATTTGTTGGCATATTCAACAACCACTCCGATGTGGTGTAATGGCTAACATCGCTGTCTCTCACACAGCAGCTCGGGGTTCGATTCCCCGCATCGGAATTACTTTTTTTCCCTTCTCTTTCTTTTTGGTCTTTATGTTTCCTTCCGATGTTGGGCGAGCTCCCTTTTATTCATTCCTCTTCTTGTTTGCTTATTTGTTTACCTTTCTCGTTCAGAAAGGTGGAGTATGACATGTATGAACATCAGGTGGCCGTACTTGAGGCTGGTGAACCCCGTCAGACCTCATTGTCTATACCTTTGATACACTCCCATACAAATTAAGATAAGAATGGCATGAAGGGTTACAACACCCAACGCATATATATGTACATACACCGAAAACATGTCAACAAGAATAGAAAGAGAAGCCAAAGGGCCACGATCATTACTAATTAACCACTTTTTTGTATTCAACGGAAGCATAACCATTGAGTGCTCTGGTATCCATCAAACATAAAGCCATCTTCTGGTTCCCTCCTAGCTTCACTGATGAAGTAAACCCCATCCTTTAGCGTAACGTCGTCATGAAGAGCGTAAGCTGAGCACTTCTATCTAACATCTGCTGTTGTACTTCTCATTGAATGCATTCACAGCTAACACAGAGAACGTTAATATTGCTTGGAAAGAAAGATATTATGTAAAGCGTGTTGTCACTTACCAATGGCGATCTGGCGGTACAGCCAGTTTCTTGAACTCTCATCCTGCACCGGAATAAATGGACCATTAGCACCCCCTTTGAGGGTAATACTCATACCAGTGCGCTCTTTAGAGATTGTTTGGATGTCCGTCAAGCGGATATCCCATTCAGCCTGGAGCTTCTTGGTGCGCACAAGCATTATCCGGTCGTATGTCAACATGACCAGCATGTCTCTTCCGGGAAGTTCCAAATGCGCAATATAGTCCTCGCTGAAATATTTACCGTCATCCGCTGTTTTGAGCCAGAACTGACCCAGTGCCTCCCGCTGTGAATATGGTCGCACAATGCCGTCTGTTGCAATGAAGCGCGTGAGACGAACACGGTCCAGGCCCTCTGCATCAAAGACAGTAGTAGTGTTTCGTACACCTTCAGCAAGATCTATGAAATCGTCAGTAACTGAGATCCTTGGATCGCATAAGTGCACATACTTGAGGCAAGATCAAAGGCGCCAAGGGCCGGCTTCGTAGCGAGACCTAAGACACCCTTTCCAACACCCTTAAAGAACCCTTGGATACCCTCCTTTTCAGCACCCTGCAGTGGGTGACGTGCGAGTCCTCCGATACCGCTTGCTAGGCTGGTTGCGAATGCATTACCACCAGCTGTGATACCATATAATGCATGTTTCGGCCGGTTTCGAGATTTAGACATCCGCCGCTTGTCCTGAAACTCCTTGTCTAATGTGGCAGCAGCAAGACCTTTAGACATGCTTCCGGTAAGTTTGGCCATGCTATCGGAGAATCCGAAAACGGACTTCTTAACAAAACTTGTGGCCCCCTTAGCAATACCGTAACCAAGTTCTTGAGGCCTATCAGTCATAACTAGTCCTTGGTATGGCTCGTAGAAGATTGCGGCAACGCCAGAGCTGACATTATTGAACAATCCAACGGGGTTGCCGAGAAAATCTGCAGATCCAAGGATGACATGCACTTGTCGGAGGAACTCCTGGGTATAGTGTCTCTGAATGTTGCCAACAAGAACTCCAAGCGATACACGAGCATTTTCCAGCATTAGTGCGTTAAGTTGAACAGGTGCATCATTGATGTTGCCCATCGACATGGTCATAACATTGACAAAGAACATCAAAGGATTCGATGGTTGCATAGTGTCTTCAGCGTTCACTCGCTCTGTCCGCATGAAAGAGATGTCAAGCTGCATGGGCTGCAGATGAAGAAGCTCAAAGTAAACATCCTGCCCAGCACCTTCACTTCGAGGCTCCGGGATCCTTAGATCTTCCTCACAAAGGTTTCCTTCCTCTTCTTCTGACCACGAGGCACCAGGGACCTTCACAAAGTCCAGCATTGCAAAAACAAAATCCTCATCAAGCTCTAGTGTCATTTGTTGTAGAAGCACAGTAGCATACTTGATGTAGAGTACACCATAGGAATCATCCTTCACTCGAGTAATCATGGCGTGGAAAATTGGATGTGCCTCCATTTCTTTTCCGGTCTTTGGAACAACGCTGGGATACAACAGCATGGGGAAAATACCTCCATAAAGCTGATTATCAATCTGGATCCACTTGATTGTGGTATTCAGCGTTTGATAAACCATGGATTCCCTGTACTTAATATCAATCTCGCGGAAGGTCAAGTACAACAGCTCTCTCATGTTCTGATTGATCAAGGAGATGCCAATACCACCAAGGCGGAGTTGAGCTTTGAAGTTAACGTCAGAATCCAACTCCTTAACCTCGAACCCGGTGCTCAGACTGCCCTGAGAGGTCTGTCCTCGTTGCTGTCTATACATGCTCTTTGATGCCTTAAAATTGGACAAGACTAGAGTCTGAGTGGGGCCGTCGGCCACAATATTAATGTCGACAATCTTCTGATGTTCACCATATTGCGTTGGTGGGATCCTCATTGGTATTAGATTACCAATCTCGGCAAGCTTGATATGCCTTTCTTTGCCATTACAAGTCAGAACGAGAGATTTGTTCTTTGTGGCTGGATAATCCCAGGCATATGGCATGATACTTCGAGGTGGAAGACGGTAGCGGATCGGCCGCCAGCCATTTGTCCTGTCATCCTCGTAATCTTCCACATTTGGATTCTGAGAGAAATTATTAGATTAGCACATGCATTTTATCCCGATTCTTTCAGTCACTTACAGCTTGATAAAATATGAACTCCATGTCGCTCTCGTTTCGCATGGAAAACGGCCAGTTTCGTAGTTCCAGGTTGAAATGCAGGAAAAGAGTTGCATTTTCCATGATAACGTCCACTTTTATGAGTTTTTGGCGTTGATTTGCCTTGGCAAGCTTGACATGCACTGTACCAATGTCTGCAATGTTGAAAGGTGACGACCATTGGTTGTTGACGCCGGGGAAGCACAAACAAAGTTGTTTCTCGGCAACCTGGCGCAAGAAATGCAGAGGTACAAGGTCACCGCTCTTGATATTAAGAACATTGGAAGACCCTGGCTCTCGAACCAGAATATCCTCATTAAGCTTGTTCTTCAAAACAAAACGAGGCGCAATGGTGACAACCTTGGTCATCTTGTATTTGCCTTCGCCCTCAGCAACAGTCACGCCGGAATGGAACTCAGATCTACCATGTCTATCTGGAAGGACAACTTCGAATGTACTCCCAATGGCTTCGAAACTCTGAGGCTTGCTCCAGGCAGAATCGCCTATCCTCAGTATGGATCGGTTCTTCTGATCCTCGCTTGGATAGGAGTACATGTAAGGGAGCGTTCGTCCACCGTTCCTTGGATCAGCCCTCAGCCCTTGTCCAGCTGCTGATCGAGCTGATTGCAAGAAGCCTTTGCTTTGTATTTCCATCGAGAGGCCTGTCTTGTTCAAGACGAGATATGGACTGTAGATTGATACCTTGAATGCGCCTCCACTATCAGGCACGTTGAAATAGTGAAGCTTCAACCTCAGTTGGATGCCTCTTTCATCTTTCAAAGGCAGTACGTGCTCTCTCCTGAAGTCTTGTGCATTGCCGTTGATTATAGCAAAATCACTTTGGCTGAAGACAGTATCCTCCAAGTCGATGCTGAGAAGCAGTAAGTGGGATAGTTCCACAACATGGACTGGGCTTACGCCCCCTTTCCGCAAGAAATTAGTCCAGTCCTTCCTCGTATTCTTATCATAGATGCGGTATTTGAAATCGTAAGGGAGGAGATTTTGTATCTCCACAGGGGCAAATATCCGGACACGCATGCACGGATATGTACTCGTTAGAGGATCCCGTGAATTGAACGTAGCATTCATTTGGAAGTAGAACGGCGGCGCTTGCTGTCCACTTTCACTTATGCATTTTATTGTCCGAGTTGGTCGCCGCAGAAGGTCTTTCCAATGTAGTTGCTCGTTCGACCACTCATAGCCAAAGCCTTGGTCAGGCCGAATTAGAAGAGAATGCATGTATGCAGCTCCCACAGGCGCAGGCCGAGAATCCCCAGGGAGGATCTTCTCTATTTTCAAAAGATGGCCGTCACGAGGATCGAAAACGCCTAGTTCCACTGGTATCTGGGTATTGTTCTCCACGACCAGGGGAGAGCGGATAGTGATGTACTTGACGTTGTCGGTGCCCAATTTGACCTCAACAAGAAGTCGATGCAGAATGCCATCTTTCTTTGGCTTCAAGTTGTACAAAATCTCTCCTTCCCGAACAACAGGAATACGGCTCACGCTCTCAAAGCCACTTCCTTCAAGCTTGATACCGACCAGACCAGCATGACCTTCGGGTGCGAGTGTTTCACGCATGGCGGTCGAGTCTTCAAACCTCCAAGGATATTCCTCCCCATCAGCCAATTTAGCCGCCGGCCCTTCTTCGTCTGCACTAACATCAGCCCAAACGTGAAGGTCAAACCCTGTATGGTTACGGATTCGGTACGGGGCATCGGCTCCTCGTGGCTTTGAGAGAACGTCTTCATCAGTAGAGAGAAACTGGAACGATTTTGACGCTAGTGCAATTGTGGCAGAGGTGAGGGTGAGCTCCATCGTCTTATGAGAATAGGCATCTATCGAAAGGACATCAGGATTGACCTCCTTTGCCATATGGAAGCCTAACTGCCATGGTTCTATAAGGGGTTCCCAGGCTGACTTAGAGAAGTTATACACGTTGATGAATGTATCGAAGCTGGTGTCAGCTTTCAGTGTCGATGACCAGTCACGGACGTCCACAGTAAACTTCTTGACACTCCAGTCAAGTAATGGTAGGTCGTGTAGGTCTCCTATAAGGATTACCCTTACACCATCGATTTGGGCATTCATTTCTTCTTTCTTGAGGATAGCTGAACGATGCGATATAAGTTCTTGTTCGATCGCATCAACCACCCCGCTGGAGCTGCGATGTGACCTTGGCGCGAGTGCAGTCGAGGTCGGCCTGCCGACCGACTTTCTTCTTGACTTCGCACTAGTACCTTTTCCATCAGATAGTCTCTTCGCCTCGCCGGTTTCCCCTTCATTGGGTTTCTGGGCTCTCATCTCGGAGGCCTTGTTGACAATTTGAATAGCCATTAAGATGTCACGGAGAGAAAGACGGAGGACAAGGGGCTCCAGGTGAACATTGATAGAGGTCAAAGCAGAGCCCTTTTCCTGAGGGCGGCTGTCCATGGACATTTCCAGAGTGAAGTCATCTAATATGCGAAGCCTACTGGTTTCAAACTTGTCCATGCGGCACAAGAACATACCAACCTTGGATATTTGCAGGGCTGAAACATTTTGATGAGAGTAAAGTAATTGCTTTGTTCCCAGCACAATGGCCTCGGTATGAGTTATAGCGGGATTCGCGATCATGATCACCTGGGCATCAACGAGATTCAATCGGAATGACACAGTCATCTGCCCAGCAGGAGGAGCCGGAGTGTTCCCACTGGAGGGCGTAATGACAGAATCATCAGTATCATCTGCAGTACTAGATCTAGGTTCTGATCCTTCCGGCGTATCGTCGCTTTCCTCTTCTTCAACTGGCTCTTCTGTCGCAAACGCGGAGTTGGCAAATGATTGCAAAGCGGACAAATAATCCAACGCAACTATTATTCGCGGGCTATCAATGGTCAGCATCGCAATTAGGTGCTTGGCTGGCCCAGGAGACATTGAAACACTGGCCATGAATTGCTGCTGGACATCATTGTTGATTAAGGACATTATCTTCCTGAACTTGTTCGTGTCCTTATTGCGACTATCACGGATCGAGAGCGAGTGGATCAAGAGTTCCGACTCCAGCGAACCATCTGTCAACATGCGCAATTTCACTTGTGTGTCATTGAGGGAGAACTTCGAGAGACTCGAATCTTCCAGACGGCCGACTGGCTCGTCGTCTTTCGAGAGGATGAGCTCCAACCCAACACCATCTACCTTGAAAACCAGATCAAGTCGGACCCAAGTTTCGTTCGTCTGTGCGCCCGGCACCAGATTATCCTGGTCGTTTCTGCTTTGGACTGCTCTGGATTCTGCCTCCTTTGTTGGTTCTGTCACAGAAGATGGAAGCGCTTGTATGGCTTCAAGCTCCTGTTGTTCCGTATCAGGTGCAAAAGCCCAGCACTGTTTTGGACAGTGCCAATAAGAACTTAAGTTGTCTCTGAGATATCCGAAGATTGATGGGAGACATTGATCCCTCCACTTCCATATCAGGCCGTGAATTTCCTGGTTGATGCTCTAGATAGCATATGCTGAAATCGAGATTGACTTTCTGTATCATCTCAAGCTCTTCAACCGCACCTCCCTCAAAATGAAACTTGGATGTCAGTCGGATGTTACGGATCCCGGTAGATATTACATTGACAGCAGGGCTGTCTTTCTCATCCTCCAGAGAAACGAATTCGTTCTTGGCGTATATTTCACCTAGATGGGCCGTCACCGTATCACGGGGACGATCTTCTTTCACTACTCCAGGGAAGACCAAAATCGGAGTCATGACGACGACGTCAAACCTCATTCTGGACGCGTTTTCTTGAAGCTGGTTTGCTTGATTCGCCGCAGCTTGGCGGGCAGCATTGAAGATCGCTTGCATCTTGCCAAACTTGACCAAGAAATTGATGATCTTACGGTACGGTTCCTCTAAGAAGTTGATCTTCATTGAACCCGACCTCAAGAAGACTTCCGAGTCATATCCAGGGTAATTTGCACTGTCCGGGTCAAATGTCTCATACTTGAAATCGGCAAAGTTATCTCCCTCGATTGTTAAGAGCCTTCGAAGATCAGAGCTCTCCGGAGCACCGGTATTGACATCGTCTATTAAGGTCAAGCTTCCAATACGGGATTGGATAAGCATTGATCGGCCCACCAGGAATATGCCAACATCGGCAGTGTTGAGGCTGAGGGTAGCAAGCCTTACACCGTCGTTGTTCAAAATGAGCGCGATACTCTTTAAGTCGGCTTTGATGCGGATTTTCCCAGCCTGCTGGGATTCTTGATCAGTGGTACTTGCGTTCTGGATGGACTGGTCTGACTGAAGGCCTTGATTGCTTGGCTGTTCTGGATTGGTGAACGTGAGAAGGATAAAGTCTAGAAGTGTGAGGAGCGTTTTCCTGGTGACAACAAGGTTGATAGTCGAGACGGAAACATCAAGGTTCATTGCTATTCCTTCATAGGTGGACTGAAATTCCGGGGATTCAGGTTTCACACGAACGAACTTGAGATGAAACAGGTCCTTATCCTCATCTGCGTCGAAGCCTTTGGAGGACACTATTCTTTTGAATTCAGGTGCAGGGTTCTCCTCAATATAGTCATCCACACTAAGGGACTTCAGCACTATTTCTGCAACCATATCGAACGGGCGTATATAGTAGTCCAACGCAAACCCTTCAGCAATCAATTCAACTAGCAGGTGATCATGGAGCTGGTCGTTCGGGTCAGAGCGAAACAATGACCCACGAAGGCGACCAACGGTAAACTTGAATTCAAAGTCACGACGATGGAGATTCGTCGGGCCCTCAACACTCTTGCTCATGTTCTCATCGTCAGATTCCTCGTCAGAATCTTCGTCTACAGCAGGAAGTTCTCTCATGACTGACGGCTGGAAGGACGAAGATCTTGCTCTTGTTCCAGGAGCAGACGACTCTTCTGCGCCGTTGCCAGAGAAGTTAGATTCCTGGCTGCCCTCGTCAAAGCGGGGAATAGCAATATCAATGAGTTTCATCAAGCCCTTGTATTTGGTATCGGAGATCGACACGTGTAGTTCTGGGAGATGCCCGGAGATTCGAGTTCTTGTAAGCTCAGTGACCTTCGGAACAATGCACATTTCGAGAACGAAATCTACATTTATGCGGTCGACAATATGCAGGTTATTCGAGGAGACGTCCGAGCTAAGTTGCGACTTGGTGATATCAATTCCAGGGCCGATAAGAACTTGGGTGGAGTCCAGTTTGAGCAAGAACCTGTCATACAACAGATGCTCAAGTTCCTTGTAATCACCCTCCTCATATTGTCGTTTCTGCTTTGACTGGAGGTCTCTCATGGTCTGTCTGTCGACTAGTTCACTGTTGACACTGATATGGCCTGCATCAAGAATCAAACAAAGTGAGCTCTCTTGAGTTATACTCTCCGGGACGATTATGAGGGGCGCATGTATATCGAACTGTGCATCGACCTTCTTATGCTCCTGCAGAGCAAATTCTAGGCCAGCTCGAGTTTGCTGTCGAATTCCCTTTACGGTAGCCCCTGCCGTATCCAGAAGAGCACCAATTGACTCCATATGCCGCTCCGGGGGTTCGAAAAACTTGACGACTTCCACAAGAAATCTGGGATTATAGAGGACTTCAATACTCTTCAACTTGACTTTGACTACCGAATCCGCGTCACTTTCCAGAGGGTTCTTCTCGAGCTGGAGATGGAATAGACTATCTTCATCCTCTATGCCATCAGCCACCTCCTCAGAATCTAGCTCTTCGTTTCCAGAGATCTGTGATAAACGGTTCTTTGGCACTGGGAGGGAATCTTTAACTTTGACGATCTGAGGGAAAAGTGTCCCCTCCGTTGTCCCGTCGTATACTCTAAGTCCTCCGAGATTCACGTCTATGAAGAAAGAGTCAGGGCGCTGTAAGGCCTTTGCCCTGAAATTGTCGAATACCAGCTTCATAATTTCGTTTGCCTTTCCATGAGGGTCGCGCTTCAGCGTGAAACTGCCGGCTCTAAGGCTGGAGTTGACTTGGAGTTTTACCCACTCCCTGGGCTCATCAACGCTTTCTGAGATAGCTTTCTTTTCATCCCAATCGATGGCATTGTACAGCTCCTGTCTCTGTTCTTCGGTCATTGCTTCCTCCTCGGATTCCTCCTTTGGAGCACCCCATATCCATTCCGACCACGTTTGTTGTCGCGCAGGCTTCTTAACGCCCACGTTTTCTTTGCGTAACTGGTTCCGTGCCAGTGATCTCCAGAATCGTATATCTTCGTAGCTAAGTTTCCGTTGCAGTCGGTCGAACTCATCCGCGTCTGACCCTGATAATGTTCCGTCCCGCTTTTGCTTTTTAAACAAATCAATATAGGTTCTGCGATCATCCCGTCGTTCTTTGATGTAGTCCCAGGTCCAGCGCCTATTTCGTTCATGAATCTTGCTGAGGACAGCGTTTCCGGCAAACTTAAACCAAGCTCGAGGGTCCTCTTTTGGGCGGCACTTCGGCTGGAATTTCTTATACTCTTGATGACGAATAAAATAGTGGAAGAGATCCACAAGCATCAATGCATCTCGGTATTGGTCATCATCTAGAACGAAGCTCAGTTCATCAAACAACAAACGGGCCTTGATGGCCGCTTGATCATGCTCTCCTGATTTGTCTAATTCCAATCCAGCACGGCCGCTAACAGGGCGCAGCATGAATTGGTTGTTTTCCTCGTTGTCAATACCAGTCCTCAGCCGTTCCATCAAATCCGCATGGTCTATGCCCTGTGCCTCTGCGCCCACGTCGGAACCTCGACCCGTACCTAGGAGTTCAGCATCTGTGTTCCAGTAAACGGAAAGAGCACCTAAGACAGCTAGCTTGTGTGTCGTGCTTGAGGTAGATTGTATGAAGGTCGGGTTCCATTCAGAATCAGTGCTGACCGCGCTTAGCTCTTTCAATGTGAATCCAACAGCGAACGGGTGGCCCGGTGAAGCGATCGAGTCCTCGTAGCGGAAGTGGACGTTCTTGATCGAGATCTGAAGATTATCGACCACTGCAGTAACCAAGCTCTGTGTGAAGCTTTGATTTCGGCGTTGCTCTTCCTGGCTCATCCCCTCCGCGTTTCGCTCTTTAATAAGCTCCGCACCATCAATCTTGTCCATTTTGAGAGCATGCGCTCTCCTTTCCTCTTCCTCGGCATCATAGTCGGCATCTTCCTTTGGGGCCGCTAGGAGAAACACATCTTCGATATCGACCTTGACAGGTTTTCCCCTCAAGTTCGACCAGGGTATGGACAGGGTGAGCTCACCGAGATGGCCTTCGACGACATTGAGAGGGAGGTGTAATTGGTCGAGAGCTTCGCGCCGGAGCTCTAGATTGCGAAGCTTTACATCACCGGACCATATACCTATGTTGAGCTGTTTGGCATCGAAATTCTTGACATAGATACCCAGGAAGCGATTTAGTAAGTTGGCCACCACCCCTTCCAACATGATGGCGAGATGTGGCTGTCGCCAAGGTGTTGGGGGGAGTCACTAGAAAAGGCCTTGAATATTATCTATCCCGGTAACGCCGGCCTAGTTGACGAAAGAGGCAAAAGAAAGTCAGCACGGAAGCGTTCGTGGTATACAGCAGCAAGTTCAACGATGACCCAGAGACAAAGACGTACAGGCGCGAGCTCTAAGTTCACTCGCAGAGTGAATGAATCAGAGCCATCCAGGAGGATTGATAAATGTGCACGCGACACCGATGGGGGCCGTGAAGTTGCTGGGTTAAAAGAAGATTCCCTCTAAATATAGAATGGATTGAAAGAAAAGAGGGGTGGGGGGGAAAGAGGAAATGGTGGTGATTTAGATATAAGATCGAAGATAAAGAGGATAGAAAACCTGACGTGAGGAAAGCTTGAAGTTGGGTACCAAGAAGTTGGTTCCTCCAATTGTTGTTCCGCTGGTAAAGGTCCCCGAAAAGGTACCTGGGGAAAACATGCGTTGGCTGATAAAGAGTAAAGGGGGGGCGCTGCGACAACCGCATTGACGCCGGGTGGACATCGCCAAGCAGTGACGTCGGTTGTCCTTCCATGGCTGGACCCCATGGCTTCTTGGCCGCATTCATTCAGCTCTGTCCCTACCGTAGGGTTACAGCCCTGCCTCGTGGTAACTTGGCCTGCCTGAACTTGTCCCGATCCCGGCCGATGTAACGCCTGAGGCATCATTTTGACACCTGCGGGGTTGGTAGCTACGGCATCCCCGAGCAAGTCCATTACCGCACCTCAGCATAATATCACCTCAGTTATTCGCTGTCTCCAGGATCGTTCGTCTCCTCGGCCTTTCATCTCCACTCCCACGAGTTCATCTCGACCAATTTCTGGGTGAATACCCTCATCTCCACTCTTCCACCTTTTCCTCCTTACTTTTTCGCCTCAATTGGGTTTGTCTACCCGCTCTGTACATCAATCCGGGCCTTCCAGTCATCGTTGCTAACCCGGCATCGGAAAAAAAATCAGCTGCCTTAGTTGACAATGTTCTACCGTAACGTTGCTGCCCGCTCTGCTCTCAGGGCTTTCTCTAGCTCCAATGCCTCTGTGGCTCGCTCGGCCCTTGCAAACAATGTGTTCAAGGCCCCATTGACCTCTTCCGCTCGTTATCCCGCTCGCCCGACCACGTCTCCCAGCCTTGCTCTGGCTACTCGCAAGCCTGTGACCACTGCTCTTATCCGCCATGCCTCTACCGCTCCCAAGGTGAGAGGAGTAGAATTCTTGACATATTACTTCGTCAATTGCTGACCATTCCATACAGGAGGGCAAGGAAGATGAGGCAGATGTTGATATGATGGCCGGTATCAAGAGTGAGGCGGTATGTGCCGAATCGAGTTCATGATATGTATCACTCCGGCGCTTTCTACGCGTCTGGGTGAAGTATGTCGTAATTGACTAACTGTGCCTACGTGATTACAGAAAGTGATCAAGGACACTTTCAGCCTTAGCAGTGTTCCCAAGGAGGCTCTTTACCTCGGCATGGCCGGTGTCGTCCCCTACGTTGCTACTTCTCTTGAGACTGTCTACCTTTCCTATGAGATTAACCGCGCCGCTTCTCTCGGTGACGGCCTCATCTTCTCCGGCCAGAGTGCTGAGTTGATGCTTCACATGCTCGAGCCCATCCAAGTCGGCTACGGTGCTGTGGTGAGTACAATCGAAATATATAGTTCCGGTGAAGATGACCTGACGCTCAATTGGTATAGATCCTTTCCTTCCTCGGTGCCATCCACTGGGGTCTTGAGTGGGCCGGATATGGTGGAAAGCTCGGCTACAAGCGCTACGCTGCCGGTGTCATCGCCCCCGCTGTCGCCTGGCCCACTCTGCTGTTCCCCGTCGAGTATGCCTTGATCAGCCAGTTCCTTGCTTTCACTTTCCTGTACTACAATGATGCTCGTGCTGCCGCTGCCGGCCGTGCTCCTGCCTGGTACGGCATGTACCGCTTCGTCCTGACCTTCATTGTTGGTGCCAGCATTGTCGCCAGCTTGATCGGCCGTGAGCAGATCGCCAACACTGTCACTGAGCACAGCTTCAAGGACAAGATCAACGCTCTCCTCTTCCTGCAGAAGAAGGAGAAGGAGGAGGCCGAGGCCCGTCGCAAGGCCGAGCTCGGTGAGGAGGACTCTGAGTAAATGATGATTCCCCGGAAACCGTGGTGATTGTATAAGCGTACGATAGTCTGTGCATAGTCGAGATGCTTGTCAGGTTGTGAAAAAGTTCTCACTGATGGGAGAGGATGGAAAGAGATTAAGCTGTCAGTGGCAGCAAGGTGTGATAGTAGATGCATTATGCTTTGGCTCTTTTTTTGGTTGAGTTTCTTGTAGATTACAGGCGGAATCAAGAACCCAGCAGACGCTGGTACTTTTCCTTTGTTTAAGTCTAATATCGTTCCTCGGGAGAAGGGAAAAAAAAAGTGGCGCCCAGTAAAGGCTTATATCCCCCACTCTATATCCTCGGGCACGGCCAGGCCACGTTCCTGCAAAAGTATAAATAGAGCCAGCCAGCATTGGATGTGGGGATATGAAGAGGCAGAGGGCTAGTTCGGTCCATGATCTGGAGTTAGTCCAGCAACAGGAATAGAACCGAGGAAAGTCAAACGAAGAAGCTAAACGGCAGACCCTGTAAGGCAGAGAGTGCCTGGGAGATACAGGGTACGGGTGTACCGTGCACCGTGTACCGTGTACCTCGCCAGTTAGTCCGGAGGGAAATGGTCTGTACAAGTCATCCGGCGTAGATCCGACGGGTGATGACGTTGGAATCGAAACAGGTTTTGGTATCTTATATTGGCAGCCCAGATCCGTACCTGATAGGTTAGGCATCAAGATCTTGTTTGCATGTTACTAGAAGTTGTTTTTCTCAAGCTCTGGTTAGTCACGGATCGTAGACCTCGGTTGAAAGAAATCCAAACCGTCGAGGCTTCCTGGTACTATTTTTTTTGTTTCACAATAATAGATTGTTGTATAGGCATTCAATTGGGCAGGTAGTTAATAATGCGAACTGTTATTGTCCAGGTACTGTCTCCCTAGACTCGTTCTTAGTGATCGACTGCCTTGCATGATTTATATCTATCAAACCACCCAATTGGAACAACGGTCCCTGACAGTGTTCATGCCCGAAGAGGAAAGTAACCCATGCCGAGCCTTTTTTGAGACAGAGCTCCATGTGCTTAGCAGCGGTCTAGCGTAACACGGTCAAGGGTAGTAGGCGAAAAAAATAATAATAAAAAGAAAGCTACGGACTGGGTAAATCGACGTAACCGTTGGAAGCACCCGAGGAAAGATGAAGAAAACCAAGTCTGGTCGACGACGTCACCACCCGCTCAGAACCGGGTCGTGGCGACCCAGCTACCCTACGAAAACCACGAACAAAATGTCATATCTACAGCGATTCGGATACAGAACAGGGGGATATGATGTATCGGGATCGTGAATTGAACACATTCTTGGGTCAGATTGAGGTGTCCTTCCTTCCCCAGAACAGGTAGGCGAGATGCCGTACGTCCGTGTGCTGTTGGTCGGTAGAATTGATCCCGTGGCCAAGGGCAGCAGGAGAAAAGGGCCCTCAACTGGGCCAAGCCGAACCGAGTATCCGGGCTTGCAAAATTTCTCCGTAAATCACAGGGCCGAACGGGCTTCCAAGATGACTAGTGTCTCTCTGCTTTACCTATATGGGACTGGCATACAAGAGACAGAAAAAGGTGCAATTAAAACAGGAAAGTATTAGCCTGGTCTCTATTCTCGAAAATCATTTCTACATTCTCATGAGTAATGAAGAATAGTACCCCAGAGATCTACCACTTAAAATATGAAGGGACAAATAGCACAGCTGAATTCTCCAACATTGCAGACCATTCGGCCAAGCCCAAAAAAAAAATAGCTAAAATAAAATAAAGTAAAATAAAATAAAAGATTTTTTTTTAAAAAAAAATATTAGCAATGAGATAAAATCAACGAGACCCGTGAAGATCTAAGGCAAGATATCCGAGTGATCAAAAGAAATTGATCCAGGGGTAAAAAAGGACCTGGGTCTAGATCCATATTACGGGGGGCGAGAGCGTTAAACGGGAATGGTTGGAGAAAATTGAACACTGTCATGTGCTCGATCGGCAAGCGTCTAGTAGATGAGAAAACCACATAGCGGAGTCAGATGAAAAGCCGCAGGGCCCCTCTTCTCTCTGCGTGTTGTTTTATCTATTGTCTCAATGACTTGGCAGGGATTTGTTGTTAAGAAGGACAACGATGGGATGGCTGGGGGTTGTGCCAGAGGGGAATGAGAGGTTGAGGCCTGGCTGCATTGGTGCCTTTTTTTCTACCCTCAATTGGACCTCAATCTATTTTCCATGGACTTGGTGCTCGTTCAATGTCTAGATCTGGTTGATATCACGAATCAATTCCAGCTCTTGCTTATAAATTAGACTGAAACCAGAGATAGCAATTGCTAATGAATTCCCGATTAATTTCCCAGGACAATGAAATTGTTACATCCGTTTGGAGTCCAATGGGCTTATCGGGCATTGGGAGTCGACTGTTTGCGGGTGGTCTAGGCATCGAACTAGCTGATAATGTGGGCAGCAGAAATCCATGGAAATTCCCTTGCGATGGGTCCATGATCGATGTCATGTGGAAGTCTAGTGACTATTCTTAGTTTAGTCTCTGCCACTCGGCCTATAGAGAGGGCCGGATGCCTTGCCGATGCACATGTACGTACTCTACTGATAGTCCAGAAACACTTGCGTTCCAAGTCCAAAGCTTACCAATGTCACGGGATTCCACTGAAATTCCATCGAAGAGAAGAGGAAGGACAATCGAACCAAAGGTTAAAATAAGGATAAGAAGCTATTCTGGACCAGGGGGGGGGGGTCAATAGGTCCAATCTGAAGGGAATGTAAAATCCAGGATTCCCCAGTTGAGTAAGGGAGGGATGATGGACCAGACCCAAGAAGGGAAAGGATGTCGGTGCTGACGACGGGCGTGTGGTCGTCTGATCAGAAAAAAAAAAAGCGAGAGAGAACTAGAAGGAAAAGAAGGCGCAAGAAAAAAGTGCATCCCTCCCCCACGCCCCCACTTCTCCGCCATGGACGAACGGGGTCTTGGTTGTAGGGAAGACCCAACCGGGTAGGTCTTCATGACTCCCGGAGTATAGCAGTAGTAGTAGTAATAGTCCTCCATAGTAGTAGTAGTTGTTGTAGGGGACCTGCACCACAGGTACATCCTACAGGGACCTAACAGAGATCACGGGGTAAAAAAAAATTAAAAATAAATAAAACAAAAAAAAATAAAAACTAATAGAGGGATAATCCCCAAGCTTATGCACACCTAATAGTAATCCTTAACCTCCGCGCTGGGAAAGATCCACCGTGCTGGATAAAGAGTCTCCGTTTTCCCTCTCGATGTTTCTTTGAGTGATCCTATTCTTCTCTCCCCTCTCTCCCTCCTCTTCCCAACTTTTCCCTCTCCTTCGCCACTCCACTAAAGCGCACCCATCCAGTGACCTCATACCTCCTCCGATCTTCCAATCCACCGTCGCTTCCACCTGCTGCGAACCAAGACTCTTTTTTCTTATTTTTCTCCAGATCTTCGCGGCGGATTACTACTTCCTGACTCCTATTTCTGACTCTTTTTCACCAACTCCACCCGACTTCCGGTCACTGGTACGTCATCATCCGCTTTTACGACTCTGGGCAATTTGGACTTGTATCATTATCAACCCCGCCGCGCGCCCCGACTTGCTTTCGTAGTCCAATTCCATCATTTCGCTCCCTCCCACTTATTCTATTTCCCCTCTTCCGCTTTTTTAAGTACCGGATTAGGGACGTAAAACTCTCCCCCCAAATCTCCAACCATCACTATTTTTGCACCAATCAATCCTCATTTTCCCGCCACCTCGTCCTCTTTGGCCCAATTTCTCTCTCTATTTTAGGAGGTCAAAAGAGAGAAGATAGATCTTTGCGTGTCACCAACCTAAGCAAAAAGAAAAAGCAACACCACAAATTCTATCACAATGAGGAACCCTTTTGATATGTCCGACCTCGACGCTCTTGTTGATGAGCAAGAGGAACAGCCTTACATTGACATCCACGCCTACCAAACACATGACGGCAATCGCTCTCTTCTACAACCGAATGAAAACCGTCATGGCGACAGCCTCAAGGACCGGTTTATTGGTGCCATTGACACCGGCACCACGAGTTCCCGCTTTATCATCTTTGACTGCACCGGCGTCCCTATCGCCAAATATCAAATGGAATTCCGTCAGATTCACGAGCATTCAGGGTAAGTAGCTGCCTCGATTGACTGTACTATATTCCCCCCTCTGACTTAAGATCCTCTGTGTAGATGGCACGAACAAGATCCTTTCGACTTGGTGGATTCAGTTTACACATGTATCGAGGAGGCAATGAAGTCTTTCATGGCGCTTGGCCACTCACCGTCAGAGATCGAAGCCATCGGTATCACTAGTCAACGAGAGACCACGCTTGTTTGGGATTGGGAGACTGGTGAGCCGTTGCATAACGCTATCGCGTGGCCCGACACCAGGACCAAGGGTCTAGTTCGGGAGCTGAAGGCCCAACCCGGAGCGGATGACTTGAAGAACATCTGCGGGTTTCCCCTCTCGACTTATCCCTCCTCCGTCACATTGGTATGGATGCTTCGGAACCTACCGGAAGTCAAGAAGGCATATGATGAGGGAAGGCTCGCCTTCGGCACTGTCGACACGTGGCTCCTGTATAACCTGAATGGTGGTCCTGAGGGAAACATCCTGGTGACCGATGTGACGAACGCATCCAGAACGATGTTCATGAACCTTAAAACACTTGATTATGACGATAATTTGTTAAAGTTCTTCGGTATTGACAGGACGAAGATTAGACTTCCTAAAATTCTCCCATCAGCCGACTCAGAGGGATATGGATGGGTCAGAGGGGGACCGCTTGATGGTGTCCCGATTACCAGCTGCCTGGGCGATCAGTCTGCGGCGCTGGTCGGTCACTGTGCCTTCACACCGGGAACAGCGAAGAACACATATGGCACAGGATGCTTCCTTCTTTACAACGTTGGCGAGGAGCCAGTCATCTCCAAACATGGTTTGCTCAGCACAGTTGGATTCCAGTTGGGTAAGCATCGGAAGGCTGTTTATGCGCTTGAAGGTAGTGTGGCTGTGGCCGGAAGTGGTGTTTCCTTCCTGATGAACAACATGGGTTTCTTCCGTGATTCGCGGAAAGTGAGCGAAGTGGCAGCAACGGTTCCAGATAGCGGAGGTTGCGTGTTTGTCACCGCGTTCAGTGGTCTGTTTGCACCTTATTGGATTGATGATGCGAAGGGAACTATATGTAAGTCAATGCTGTGTCAGAAGCAGTTGTACAGAATCAGAACTAATACTGGTTTAGTCGGAATCACGCAGCACACGCAGCGTGGACACATTGCTCGTGCCACCATGGAAGCTGCCTGCTTCCAAACCAAGGCAATCCTTGATGCCATGGAGATGGACAGTGGACACGCATTGACGGAACTCGCCGTCGATGGTGGCATGAGTAATTCCGATATTTGCATGCAGGTATGTCGCACTTATTTTACTGTCCACATTATATAGCGAAAAACTAATTTCTTCCCTTAGACCCAATCAGATATTATCCAGATCCCTGTTGAACGGCCAGCGATGCACGAAACTACCGCTCTGGGTGCCGCAATCGCGGCGGCATTCGCCATTGATATCTGGAAGGATTTCAGCGAGCTCAAGAACATGAACCGCGCCAATCGTACAACATTCCAGCCCCATATCTCTGACGCACAGAGCTCGAAGCTGTATAAGCGATGGAGCAAAGCAGTCGAGATGTCTCGAGGCTGGACAGACCCCGCTGAAGAGGCAGAGGAGGAATGATTGCATACATTCACAAGCGACAAATGAGACCTACCTACATACATAATTCTGGGATGAGATTTGCGATTTAGCGTTGCCTTTATGTTCTTTTTTTTATTTTTTATTTATTTATTTCCATGTCTTGGGGTTCTGGGTACGGGCCAACATGGCGGTGGAGTGTCTTTTGGATACCCGATCATCACATCAGGTAGTTCTGGTAAATATTTAGAAATTCAATGCATATATAACCAGACTAACATTGTCCTCAATATTCAAGTCGAGTAGGCAAGGTTCCGGTCACTGCCGACAAATTAGATAAAAGGGATTCCATCAATCAGAGCAATGAATGGGGGGTTCAAAGGTGTTTTATATGGAAGATCTCATGCATCATACGATTGTAGCACACAGCTGTATGTGCATTAGTAGAGGTAAGGCAGGGTGGTGTGATCTGCAGCCGATCTTGAGAAGTAAACCTTTACTTTCACTGAACCTCAGGCATTGCATATGGCTGACACTACTAGTACTAAATACTACTAGTACTAGTAGTATAATTAGTACCTTACTAGTAGTAGTAAGGTTTCCTTTCGATCAGAAATATCCCCCACCAATCAGCAGTGCATCCCATTTTCATCAACTGCATACTGCCTGCTCCGTGCCGGGCCACAAAGCTCACATACGAAAATCATAGTTCTAAGCAATCCTGGGGCAGTAGTCAGGGGTCAGATATGACGGATACAGTAACACCGCCACAAAATCCCAAGGACGATGGGGCGACCAGCTTCAAAGACTCTGTGAGCTCGAAGAAGTTGTCGAGCCGTGGGATAAGTATGATCCCAAGTCAACGCCAAACGTTTTCTATCCTATCTGTCTTGGAGAAGTTCTTAATGAAAGATATCTGATTGAGCACAAAATCGGTGCTGGTGGGTTCTCCACTGTCTGGATGGCCCTTGACCTCCAGAAAAAAGAAAAATGTCGCTGTCAAAGTCTTGTCCACTGGCGACTGTGGAGACATCGAACTACGTATACAAGATGAAATCGTTCGGAGCGTGCAGGATAGATCCCACCTTGTGACATATTCGGACACTTTTCTGCTAAACGGAAACGATTGCCACCATAAGGTTATGGTGTTTCCTTTGCTGGGGCCGTGTCTTGACCGTTATATAGTGACGAAATTTGCTGTGAGTACTCGCCTGTCAGCTGCGAAGCAATTGCTAGAGGCGTTGGAAACCCTACACAACGCTGGAATTCTGCACCGTGGTACGTTATCCTACACATCTTATATCGTCACCATCTGATGAATAGTCGACAAGACTTGAATGAGAGAAACTGCATGTGGGGAATGGCGCCTCTTCAGGATCTTAGCAGGGGTGCTACATATGAAGCTCTCACCCGGCAACTAAGGCAAACTATTCCAGCCGTCGAGTTCTGCAAGCCTGGAGAGTTGGTACGGCCTACCCAGGTCCCTGAAAACCTGCGCACAGAAGATTTTTATCTCGGTGACTTCGGTCTGGCCATGAAAGTTGGCGACCCCGTGGCTCAACCAGGCCATCCACCTTTGCAGTTTTGCTCCCGGGAGCGTCTCCATGGGAAAGATCCAAGCTTTGCCTGCGACATGTGGAGCTACATGGTCAACTTTGCTGGGCTTTACCAAGGGCAACCACCGTTCAATCCTTGGTACAGGGGGGGGGGGGGGGGGGGAGCACTAACGACTATCACTGGCTTTCTAGGCCCACTGCCAGAGCAATGGAAAGGTTCTTATATTTTTGCTGATGGCCTTGATTCCTGGTTCGATCATAATCAAACGCCCGATACAAAGGAGACCCTCGCATCAGAGCTTGCACGCTATCGACCCGATGTCGATCCAGCTGAACGAGAGCACAAGCTCTCCATTATGCAGAAGGCCTTCATCTACTCACCTGAGGAGCGTTTGACTGCGACGCAGCTTCTGGCCGACCCTTCATTCAAAGCTCTCATGGCCAGATATGATTGTTGATACTCTGATTGAGTTGAGATCGAAGATCATATGGCTTCTCTGAAAAGGTAAACATTGTAAGAAAGATATCATTTATCATTGACTGGCTGGTTAGCGGCTTGGCTCAGTACAAGCCTTCACCGTCTCGCGGGGTGTACCCCTGAGATAGATACGACGGACAAATCCATCACGTAATTCCACGCATGCTCAAGCAAGATCTGGGTATACTTAGGATAGCCCGAATATAGAACGCCAGGTTAACATACAGTTTCTCATTGATACCCATGTATGTACACTACAATACAATACAGCCAGATCATTCGCTTGCCGTCGCTCACCTCCCAAACCCATATGCCATATGCCATATGCACGGTTATTTAGTATTCCATCAAGGATAGATATCGAGTAGGAGGAAAAATAAAAAGAAAACGAGGAATTAACACCGAATACACTAAAAATATAACGGCCCAAAAAACTGGTCCATGAAGGCACCCAAGAAGGATCTTCATCCTTGATGCACTTAACACAACAAACGGAGAGGAGTTATAAAAAAAGGATGAGTAAGAAACGGGGGTTTCCCTATCAACTAGGAGAATGATGAATCGAAGAACCGCTTAATTAACATCCGACGCAGTCGACGTCGGCGGCGCTTCAGCGAGGTGGACGGATTCAATCTGGCCGCCTGTAGGGCCTCGGGCAGTTTGAGTGGCGCTGATACTCTCGATTCCAGTTTCTCAAGCTTCTCGCCCTTCAACACCTTCTCCATCTCCTCTTTAGTCAGTGTCTCGTACTCAATCAATGCCTTGGTTAGCAATTCCAGCTCATGGCGCTTTTCGGTCAGAATGTTCGTAGCGCGCATGCGAGCTTCCTCAACAAGGCGTCGAACTTCACTTTCGATCTCTTGCTTAGTCTCAGAGGACAAACTGTCATAGTTGGTGGAAAGATCGACATTTCCTAGTTTCTTGGAGTACCCAAACCGGGTTATCAGGGTGAAAGCCGTCTCCGTGGCTTGTTGAATATCCTACAGACGATTAGCGAATAGTCCCAAATCATGATGACCATCAGAGACTCACCGCGGAGATGCCACTAGTAACCTTGTCAGGTCCAAATATAAGCTCCTCTGCGGCCTTACCGCCCATGGAAACGTCGATATCAGACAAGTACTCGGTATAATTCCTGGATACCGTATCCATCTCAGGCAAGAAATGGGTTATACCCAACGCCATGCCACGAGGGACGATGGTGATTTTGTAAAGCGGCGTAGAAGAGGGCGAAAAGTAGGCAACCAAAGCGTGACCAGCCTCATGGTACGCGGTAAGAAGCTTGTCCTTGTCTTGGATAACCCGGCTACGAGCTTCTGCGCCCATCATGATTTTGTCCTTAGCCCAGTCAAAGTCCCTCGGGCCAACTTTTGCCTGTTTGTTTCTGCTTGCGAAGATGGCAGCCTGGTTGACGAGATTCTCCAGATCGGCACCAGAAAAACCAGGGGTACCGCGCGCAATGACAGCAACATCAACATCCGTGCTAATTTGGACATCCTTCATGTGGTGTTTGAGGATATCCATACGGCCCCGCACATCAGGAAGGTCAACAACTACCCGTCGATCAAATCGACCGGGTCGAGTCAATGCCTTGTCAAGTAACTGAGGGTAGTTTGTTGCGGCGATAATGATCACTCCGCTGGTCTGCGAAAATCCGTCAAGTTCCGTGAGAAGCTGGTTTAGCGTCTGTTTGACATAAGCCGCATCCCTTTCGTTCCTCTTCGCACCTATCGCATCCAGCTCATCAATGAAGATGATAGCAGGCGACTTGCTTCGTGCTTGAGTGAACAGTTCACGGACACGCTTGGCACCGACACCAACGTACACTTCGTCGAACTCAGAACCAGACATGTAGAAGAAAGGTACACCAGCCTCTCCTGCCACGGCACGAGCCAGCAGCGTCTTTCCGGTACCAGGAGGGCCAACAAGGAGTACGCCCTTCGGCAACTTGCCACCAAGAGAGGAAAATCTTTCGGGGTTCAGCAGGAATTCAACCAGCTCCTGGAGTTCTTCCTTAGCTTCGTCGCAACCATGCACATCAGTGAATCGGACAGTCTGTTGCTGAGGCTGAGCTTCGTTGTTTTGAGGACCCTTGATATTCTTCAAAACACCTGTAGTTTCCACAAGGATAGTAACCAAGACGAGAGACATGTATGTGAAGAAGCCAAAATACAACAAGAACTTCACCCATCGGAATACGGCGCTGCCAAGCGACTCCTCCACGACGACGTATAATGGAGCCTCTTTGGCACCCGTGCCGTTTGCCTTTGCCGACACACCGACATTACCGCCATGGTTCTGAGCCGCAACAGCCTGTCCGATAGCCTGGAGTTGTTCGGAATTGAGATTCGAGTTACCACCCTGGGCCGAGGCCGCGGCCGCGGCCGACAATGCAGCAGTATCGGTTCCACCAACACGTTGTAAGGCCTTGAAATAAATCGCTTCCGAAAGAGCATTAGTAGCAAAATGACCACTTTTGTACCGTTCAACAACAATCGCAGGCATATTGGCTCGAAGAAGAGCCTGGTAAAAAGCATTTTGGGCGTTTGCACTATTGGGGTTGCTGTTCGCGGTTTTCTCTTTCTGCGCTAACAAACCGTGGGATGGTCCTCCGAATATAAAACGCTGTTGCTGTAACCTTGGAAGCCCTGTAACACTAGGCGCGTGGCGGAGACGGTCCAAAGATGTCAACGTTGAGTAGGAACGAAATGACGGCGAAAGGGGCTGACGGGAGACAAGAGACGGTGCAGTCCAAAGAGTAGTTTCTAAAAAGGCCCATCGTGTTAAAGAGACTTACGGGAAGTGATACAACGAAAGAAAGAGGCTTACCGTTGGAGAAAGAACGTGACCAGATGTGATGCGCAGGCTTGCTACGTATCCCAGGTCTCAAGGCTTCGGAGGGCACCGTGTGGAGGAACTCTGGTAGTGAAACATGATTCAACCCCTAAAGCATTGTCAGTAAGCTCCATTCATCATCACGCTAAACCAGGCCTAGAAAGTGTGCCGTTGAACTTACTTCCCCAACCGTGCGTTGAGAGAGACCCTGGGAGACGGCGGGACCGGAGGTAGCAGGACTGCGCTCGACGTTCTTCCAAGGCGCATTAAGAAGCTTTGACATCGAGGCCAGATATCCGATGTCGCAGCCGAGATATTCTGGTTGGTAGTCGGAGAGTTAGAGAAAGGACTCCTATAAGCACGAGAACGGGTGGTGCTTACAGGCTTAGGAATCGGAAGTTGAAAGGCCATGGTAGACCGAAGGCGCGGCACAGGGCCGCGGAGCAGGATCTACCCCTCGGAGGTATATAAGAGAACAGAGACTAGGCGAGATGCGGTTATCTCTTCGTGAACACAAATGCCATCACTGATCAGATCAGGAGCAGATGATGGCTAAGATAAAGGCGTCGGATGGATGAACAATAACGATGATGGCACCTTCGTCGGTGGATGCGGCGGCGAAATTCGCCTGGCGGAACGTTGCCACTTCGGCTTGAATGCTCGGCCGTAGGGGGAACGCAATCACGTGTATTCATCCTGCCTCAGGCAGCCACCGGTCTCGCAAAGCAACTTTGGCGTCATATCGTGGCATAATATGTTTTGTATCCTTTTTACTAAAATCACAAAATTTGTCCTCTCAGTTCTGATTTTGCCATGCTTGCTTGTCAGAGAAATCCGTGTCACAGTATCGTAAAATCATGAAGGTCTATTTCGTAGCAATCCATGGTTCAGATCCGTTCCTTCTGAACCACCGGGCAATAGACCGTCCTCGTCATTGCCAACTACTTCGATGTCTATTTATTGACACAAAGCCTGTGGTTGTCGGACATATAACCAAGACTCTAAGCCCTTGATCTCAATGTTCCCGTCACTCATAGGCTGGAATCTATTCACATCTGGCGAGTTCGTCATTTACAGAAGCAAAGCACCGCCGTTCGGGCTTGAAGCTGGCCAGGCACAGCACATCCACAAACCGCCATTCCTTGCTTAATGGTTATTTTTCTAGTTAAATGCCCACAGCTATGTCCAGAAAGATTATTTTTCTCGTGGGAGCCCCCACGATACGAAACCTCCAATGGAACGAAGATGAGCTTCTCACGGCACCCATCTCCCCATTCCATAGTTCGGATATTCCCAATGAAGACGATTGGCCTTTTACAGATCCTAACCCTGTAAAATGGAGGCTGTTACAGGATGAGAGATCGGCGGAGGCAATTGACGAAAACCCGGGACTAGGAATAGATAGAGGCACTCACTTCTTTACAACTCAAGACCTTGTGCCGCCTAGCAGCTTATCAACTGCCCCAGAAGATTCAAGTCTCACCCAGTTCTACGACCATTCGTTCACCGTCCATGAGACATCCGAGATTACTTCCCCAGGCGTCCATCTCGGGGATTCCACGAAAGAAAGTGACATAGTGGCCGACAGCACAGGGACTTCTATCGCAACAGAAGAATCCCTTGGGTTGGAGTTGCCCATCCAAGGAGGTATTACAGATCTTCAAAACATTCCGAGCGCTGGATACCTGACATCTATTGTGCCACAAACTATGACGGTGAATCTCATCGTCGGAATTGCTGCAATTCGACCACCGCGTCGCATTTTGACGCGGCGATGGAAGAACGAACTAGACCTTGTCGAAATAGTAGTGGGAGATGACACAAGAAGCGGGTTCGGAGTTACGTTCTGGCTCCCCCCAATGGAACAAAGGATCGCCCCAGGTCATCATGACGAGAGCCATGAGCTTCGCAAAATGCTGGAGACTTTACGGCCGCGAGACATCGTTTTGTTGCGCATGGTAGGGTTGAGCTCCTTCCGGGAACGGGTTTACGGACAGAGTCTCAGGAAAGGGATTACTAAAGTCGATCTACTCCATCGACAGAGGGTCGACGTAACAGATGCGGGTGGTATGTACAGTGCAAGGAGTCTCTTGAACCATGATACGACAGCCAAGAACGATGAACTACTGCGAGTCAAAGCGAGAAAGGTGCGCGAGTGGATCGTGAGTACCACGACGGATTTAGCAGGCGGTGACGCAAGGAAGCCCACGCAACGTGGGCCGACTTTACCTCCAGATACGCCAGAGGATTCGTCGAGGTTATAATTAGAACAACTTTGTAGGAGGTATGTATGTATTTTAACATATGTTGAAGGCAGGGTTACAGAAAGGTCACTAGGAACACATTTTTAACTTGATTCTGACAGCTGATCAGGAGATACAGGGACGGGATCCCGACTCCGAATACCCTGTGGTAGCGGTACATACATACTACTTTACTCTTCGCAGTACGTAGTACCTATCACATCTTAGTGCAACGCTATGGAGGGAAATTATAGTCGTGTTGGGGGTACCTAGGATTGCAGGACGTTAATAAACTTTATCCGCATATGCATCCATCTACGGTATAAGCATCATGCTTTACATAAAAGTAGTCCTTCCTTCATCTGGAGTATAATTTGAATGTCTCCCTTTTTTTTATATTATGTTGGGTAAGAGCTTTGCTCCTTACAGGATGTCCTTAAATTTAGGGGTGTAATGGCCCCACGAAGCACCTGATCCGAGTTCCCAAAACAGATCTAGGCCCAGAGGCTGTACCGGCAATCCTGTCCTGTAATTCGTCGAGGACGGTAGATGGTGGCGCTGGCTGCAAACGTGCAAAGGCGGAGCTCTTTTTTTGGTGGTACCTGATACCTTACCATACCATCTCCGGCTCCCCCTAACCCATGTTGCATCTAATACAGGTACATTTCCCATACATACATGCTGGGTCTCCAACCGCCAGGTGTTATAATTGATCTTTATTTTCCTCTCCTCCTCCTCCTTCTCCTTTCTTCTTCTGGTTGACATCGTTTGATCTGTCAACGGCCGTTCCCTTGACCGATTGATCTCAGTCCCCATCTTCACTTTACACCACCATCGTTCTCTCCCTCGTGCGGGATTGCATATTAGTTCTTCCCCTCCCCTGCTTTCGCTTTACCCCCCTTATCCCCCGGTCGCTCGTTCAAAACAACCGTCGCCGCCGGTTCCTACAATATACCACCATATTAACATTTTCCTCTCTTAACTTCGTCCCACTACATAATCATGAAGGGTATGTGCTCCTCTCGGTACAGTATCCACTCCTCTTTGCTGACTTCATTTGATTGCAGCTCTCATTCTTGTCGGAGGGTTTGGTACCCGTCTCCGTCCGTTGGTGAGCAACTCCCCCGCCGGCGATCGTGACGTACCACATACCAGCTCCCTATGAGCCCCTACTGACAGATATGATCGCTCAACTAGACATTGACCCTTCCCAAACCCCTGGTGGAATTTGGGAACCGTCCTATGATTCTGCACCAAGTCGAGAGCTTGGCTGCTGCTGGTGTCACGGATATTGTCCTGGCTGTTAACTATCGTCCGGATGTCATGGTTTCGGCACTCAAGAAGGTTTGTCCGCGAAAACAAGTCAGCCCCCATGCCCATGCTTACCGTAACTAGTACGAAGAACAATACAATGTTAAGATCGAGTTCTCCGTCGAGTCCGAACCCCTGGGCACTGCCGGTCCTCTGAAGTTAGCGGAGAAGATTTTGGGCAAGGACGACTCTCCATTCTTTGTTCTAAACTCCGATGTCATCTGTGATTATCCTTTCAAGGAGCTGGCTGAGTTCCATAAGAAGCACGGTGACGAAGGTACCATTGTTGTTACCAAGGTTGACGAGCCCTCTAAGTATGGTGTCGTTGTTCACAAGCCCAACCACCCCTCGCGCATCGACCGTTTTGTCGAAAAGCCTGTTGAATTCGTTGGCAACCGTATCAACGCCGGTATCTATATTATGAACCCTAGTGTGCTGAATCGCATTGAGCTGCGCCCGACCTCCATTGAGCAGGAGACATTCCCCGCTATTTGCAAGGACGGACAGCTTCACTCCTTTGATTTGGAGGGCTTTTGGATGGACGTTGGCCAACCGAAGGACTTCCTCAGCGGTACCTGTCTATACCTCACTTCCCTCGCCAAGCGCAACTCCAAGCTACTCGCACCCAACTCCGAACCCTACGTGTACGGTGGCAATGTTATGGTTGACCCCTCCGCCAAGATTGGCAAGAACTGCCGCATTGGTCCCAATGTAGTCATTGGTCCCAACGTCGTGGTCGGTGATGGAGTTCGTCTGCAGCGTTGTGTGCTTCTAGAGAACAGCAAGGTCAAGGACCATGCCTGGGTTAAGTCGACCATTGTCGGATGGAATAGCTCCGTAGGCAGATGGGCTCGTTTGGAGAATGTCACCGTGCTGGGTGACGACGTTACTATCGCAGACGAAGTCTATGTTAATGGTGGATCCATCCTTCCTCACAAGAGCATCAAGCAGAACGTTGATGGTAAGTGATCACCTCGTTTGTTCATCGCGTGTTGATTCTAATCTTTCTACCAGTTCCCGCCATCATTATGTAAACCTTCTCTTCTCATGTCGACATGTCCTCAAATGCTTTGCTTCCAGTCGCCTGCACCTCGACGCCGCCCGATGCATAGAACCGGAGTCGGTCTATTTTACTTCAGTTGATTTCAAGCAGGCCTGCGCCTGACAGGATTTCTGGGTCAAGGCCATGACCACTCCTTGGAATACACGGCGGTCCTGACACCTTTCTATTTACCATCCCCCTTCTTGCATAAATCTTTTATTCCATTTCCTTATCCTGCTCCACCGTACGCAGACGCTGAATGCCTTGATGGCGAAAGCGCTGCCCTCTACAGACTTTTAGTAATCATACTTATGTTTCCTTCACTACGTGTTGCCGCCGACCCGTCGACTGCCTTGCGTCCAATCTTTTCTTTTATGTTCTATCTTCTTTGACATTGCTTTGAAACCATTCAATCTTGTGTTTCTTCATTTCAGTCTTGCCAACACGTTCGTGCTTTTTTTCGTTGCGCCGTGTCTGCTTCCTTGGGGAATGGTGGGCAATTGGGCTAATACTCTATCGGATTCTAATGATGTATGTGGACACGGGGTTTAAGGAATGTAAATATGGGAGGCAGAACCTGGGAAAAAAAAAGAATACAATGCAGTTATGCATTTTTTTAAAGAAAGAATCAGCGAACGGCCTGCGCCTTGTACAAGAAATTATACATGCGAAGATTGACATGGTATCTATTGTATCATATACAAGCCGAGATGAAACTTTTAGGCGAAATCAGAATCCCAAACCGAAATCATCAGGGCTTACTTCGTCCAAATCAAGAAGTTTATCCCACTCAATTCTCAACTCCTCCATTTTCTGCCAGCATTTTCTCCCCAGCTCCTCAAAGTCTTCCTTCGCCTCCGCTGTAAGGTCCACCGCGCCTCTTTTGCGCCGACGCAACCGATCCTCATCCACAACAGCGGGGCCAACGACACCACCATACCCCCACCCGTCAACTTCAGTAGATGCCGGAGTATCCTTGCCAAGCCAGTTGCTGGAGGAACCCCATTTCGCTCTGCCACCACCATTCTGCCGATACAGCGACTCAGCCGTGTCCAAGACAGACTGAGCGGACAACGCCAGCCACACAGGAGCACAGGCACCCAGATAAGTCGACACCGTATGCCAGGGGGACCCAAGCAGCCGGGCAAGGAAGCCGACGGCAAGCATTGAGTAAAAGAGCGGCCAGGCGAGCGGGATGATACTCGTACCACAGATTCCGGGGTGAGAGAGGTACGTGTTCGGGGCCGAGTTATCGTCATTAGTTACTTTAGGTCTTCCAAATCCACTGTTATATGTTCTATTATCATCGACGGAATAGAAACTCTTCACGAAGGGCTTGGTACTGGGGAGATCGGCCGTTAGCGCCAAGACGTCGGTCAACGCCTTGGAAGATTCGTAAGGTGCGGAAGTCCGGAGACCCTGAATGTCGTCGATGTCGAACATCTTCACCGTGGCTTCTATGCTTGAGACCCAGATGACGCGGCCACGACCATTGGGTTGTCCTGACCGCCGCAGCAGGGGCATGACATTGTGCGCTAACATGTAGTGGCCAAAGACGTTTGCGCAGAAGACGGAGCCCAGACGGGGCTCTTGGGTTGCTAGCGTTGTGGTCTGGTAGTCTGTTACCATACCAGCGGGGGCGATCTTGTATGAGGGCCAAGAAACTTCGTGGACGAGGTCGGTGAGGATGCCCCAGGTGGCTCGCGGCCAGTTCAGGGCTGACCAGCCGCCAATGCCGGCATTGAGTAAGATGGCGTCGAGTTTGGGGCATTCATCATTCAGGCGGCGGGAAAGGGCGCGGACGGAGACGAGGTTGTTTAGGTCTACGCTCTCCGGGATGAAGTTTACCCTTCTGGTGGGGGAGGGTGTTGCGGAGGTTTTGCGGAGATGGTCCTGGAGGCGGAGGAGGGTGTCGTTTCCTTTCTTGGGGCTTCGGGTAGTGAAGATGACGGTTAGGGATTGGTTCGTGCGTTGAGGAGAGCTGAGGAATTCATCGACTAGGCGGCAGCATATCGAGAATCCGAGACCACTATAGATTGAGTCAGGGAGCTGAACGTGATATAGGGGCTGATTGGTGCGGGAGATGAGTTGGGATTTGCGAGTAGAGGGTGCGATACCTGTTTGCGCCAGTGACAAGGATATAGACCTTGTCCTGGAGATCCTCGTCCGTTCCGTAATTGAACATAATGGGCCACTTGTTGGTATGGCATCCGTCGGGAGGAAGATTGATGGAGGATGGAGATAAGTGAGATTGAGGATGTTGTTCCTGTGCGCTAGGCCTGACCGGGATTAGCTCCCTAACCTTATGTGTGCCTGGATTGGGGGGTTCATCCAGAGTACTAATCAAGTAACTTCCATAACAAACTGAAGTAGAGAACCATTTCTCTATCGAGTGACACACTCGATTTTATACAGATCCTCTTTCTTGCTGGATGAGTTTCTACACATATGGCAGGGTCTCTATATTTTAGCAGAAAATGCTCGTATGCTTGAGAAGTATATCAACGTATCCTGGGCTCAAAGGACGCCTCGCTATGCTTAACAACCACCTAACGTATTTGATGTCACAATTTGCCCGGAAGCATAACGGTTCAACGCTACAGAGAATATCGGGCTGGAGAGGCTCATAAGGGGATTTGTGTCACTCTGTGTTTGATGGTATGTTGTGGATAGGAACTATCTTGAGCTCCCAGATTACAGTCTTCTATACTCCATTGATAAAAAGGTTTGGCATGTTGAAGCGTACTGGATCCAGCCTGGCGCGAAATCACCTTATATAAAAATCTCGATATTCACTGCCATTCAAGAGCAGGAGGACATCTTGTAATTGACAGGTCTTGTTCACTGTGCCTGGAGTGGGAGAATACCGCGTCTTCACTGAGTGCTTTCACTAATATTAGCTTGGAGAGATCAATAGGGAAACCACTACAGAGTTTCGAGCTGCGACCAAAGACCTCCGGGAGGCTGTCTTGAAGAAAGCCGATATGGTTGTTGCCACTCTCTTTACTCTTAGACAGTACGCTGTATACTCTGTGATCGATCCTGTGGATTTTACTATAACCGAGTGATGCTGTTACTCGTAGATCACCGTCAGCTAAATCCCATCAAGCTGTTAAGCACGACAGGTAATTCTCTACGTGTTCAGTTAAACCTCTCACTTTTCTGCCGTCTGGTATTTCCTGGGCTGGCTGTCCATATGCTAGAGGTACGGCATTGCATACACCCCAATATCTGTGCGCCAGTCAGCACAGTATTCTACGACGGCAAACTCCAAGACGGTGCAGATATTGGACATATACACCGCTCGGGATTCACCGAGGATATTATGTTCTCATGGGTTCCGGCTTACAAGAATCACAGCGCGCCAACCTGATTCAAGAAGAGATCCTTACGATTTTGGCCGCTATGATAAAGCGCTCAAACACAGATAGATTAGAGAAACAGGTTTTCGCCCCTGTAAGCTACCCTTTCCTAATGCAGAGAAGAGCAATAGGGCAGATAGGACTGAGTCTACGCCATGTCGTGGTAGGTGATATTATTGTCATTCATGGGTGAATGCCACGGGCGAATTCTCATTGCATAATTCGATGAAGACAAACTAGCGATTCACAAGTCGAAAGTATATCGGTTCTACAGTGGCAATCGGGAGTCTTATCTATTGTTCCTGACTTATCTGGCCGCTGAAGAAGGTCCAGCCGATACTTTGACCTTGTTATCGAAGCAAGGCACTTGTCCTTCTTAACAGGCGAAATAGGTCCAGACAGCATGTTTCCGATTACTGGATCACTGTGGACAATTGGCTGTCTTCTTGGGGGGGGGGAGTGCTTGCTTTAATACGGGCTAGGCAAGCGATAAGTTCTAGAGAAAATAGAATTACAAATTGAACTTTACCCTTAGGATCATTAAAGGCCCCACCCCGAGCAACGTATACTTATTCGTAAAAGGGGATAGCAAGATGCAGAAAATAGAAGGGCCGGCTAAATAGCAAGAATACCTCAAGTTGGTTCGAGCCCAGGAGCCGCCAAAGGGTGGGAAACAGCGTCTTCATCAGACTCCGGCTCCACTCGCATTCATCAAGGGTGATACAAGGTCTCCTGCTTGCCCTGATGGCTCATCGCTTGGATTGGTAGAGGCTCTGTTGGGAGCTACAGGATAACTTGCACTGGCATTGCCGTCCGGGACATCATTATTGACGCGCCTCCTTCGCTTTGGCACTGTCGGCGCGTCCGGCATCGAGATACACTCGGCCCCAAACAGCTCACAGTTCATGCAGGGCTGCCTATCGGCAGGACATTTCAGCTACAGGTTGGTGCAGTCAGCGACCACAGTTGCATGGTTGTCAAAGGGGTTGAATTGCAGTGGTCCGCATTACCCGTTTTCTTGCGGCAATAATCAGAAGCACGGCGAACTCGCTTTCTGATGCCAGGTGCTGTGGAAGTACTCATCCTGCTTGCTCGTGTCCATGGAAGATAACGATGAGAGAGGAGGATATTTTATTGCGATGCTCGGAGGCTCTCGAGGTCACATGCTTTCACAGCATGAAGCCACAAGCCCACTAATCAAACCCAAAGCTTGGATCTTGGTCTTCCCAGTGATCTCGCATGAGACTTGAGACTGAATAGGATGAGTGGACCGGGGGTTGTCATTTAATTTGATGGGCATAAATGATTGGTGCCCACGGAATTTAATACTTTACTTGGCGCCAGGTCTACTTTTAAGATGACACATAGATGTTGACCTTGAACATTTCTTGGTGCACAGGTGTCCTCTCCCTTAATCGCACACCATCCGGTTTCGAATTGTCTCGAGCCCATTCAACTCAACTTCAACAACATTCTGACCCTTCAGGAGCCTGTCAGACATGAATAATCCGATGCCTAAATCATTATATGAGCACCATAGCTTTCCCTGAAACAGAAGGAAATACGAAAAGAGCAAGCAAAACTCACCGCTAGGGGTTCCTGTTATGAAGAGGATGCTTTCGCAGAGAATGATCGGGGTGCATTCCAGCGGACACAGGACCTTGAATGGAAGTGATCGGTCGAAGACCTCTGTGGGTTCTGCACTGGGAGCCCACCTTGACCACTTTTGTCTCTGCACCTGATGACTTTAGCCCGTCAAAACGATTCCCTTCCAACATCGTGATCCCCCCCCCCCCGCCGGAACATGGATAGCATGTCCTAGGTATAAAACAATCATCGCATCCGGGGGATGTCGTCTAACCAGGGCTTTCGACCCAGGCTCCACAGGACCCCAGCTATCTACAAGCTCTTGAGGAATATCTCATTAACCTCCTCCGGAGTTGCCGCAAACCCTAGAATGTGATGGTCAGGCCGAACGGCCAGGAAGCCCCAATCACTCGTCAACCGACGATGCGCGACCAATGCCCGTCAACATCAGAGAAATGCCGCTCCAACTGCCAATACACCAGTGGCACTTGATTGGGTCCCTCTATGATTGTTGGTACAACCTCCTGACTCGGTGATGAGAGGACACTAAAGGCGGATCAGTCAACCAAGTCAGGCGTGGATATCGTCACCAAAGGACCACTGGGCGCTAATGGTGTCCTGGGGGACTTTTGCTTTTCAGGGTTTGACATTGTACTGCTCACCATCTCACAAATCTTGAATGATACGGAATTGGTTGTGGTCACTAATCCCACCGTTGACTTCCGCCACCGGTCTTCTTTCCGAGGTATACGAATCGAGTAGGGTGTCAGACTCTACAGCTCATCCCTCCTCCACGGCATGAATCTTCCAAACTAGGTCATGTACGTCGGCGAACCTGTGTTGACCCCGAGGTCACCCGCGTTGGGGAAGGTGTGCGCCGCGTCACCCAGCAAAAACGCACTTGAAAATGCAGGAGACCTGTAGAAGTCAGAGATGCGAATGGGCGCCTCACAAGCGCAAGTATTGACTACCTCGTAGTCCACCTTCTCGTCAATAGCCTTAAAGGTGAAATGGGGGCGACGTTAGTTACAATGGGAGAGAAAAGCACTCACTTACTTTGTCCATGACACTTCAGCAATACTCTTCGGGACATTAAGGGGAATGCCAAAGGCGGAACAGGCTCGTGGGTGTGCACTATCGTACGCGAAGAGGTGTGTGCTGTTGATGTGGATTCTGGACCCGGCAGCACGATTGAGGACCTCCAAGCAGATAACACCAGAGCCCTGGGTGCAGCCATAATGAACGTGACTAGACCCGTCTCCAGCGTGTGCTCTTGAAGATATTCCTCGAGAAATATTGAAAACTATCACTAACTTGATAATTAAAGGTAATAATATTCAGTTAAGACATCCTGGTGGTTTCGACCCTAGAAAGATATATTAATAGATAGTTTGCTGTTCAAACGTCGCTCCTGAGGAGCTCTTAGTTCAGTGGTTTCCCAAGCAGAGTTTCAGTAGGTAGATAGAATCAACAATATTTTCCCACCACACCGACATTCCAGGGGGGCACTGAATGGAATACCAATGGATTCAAGGGATGCCAGTACTGAGCCTGAAGTTTGAAAATAGTAGCCAAGCCATGTATAATGTAGATATTAAGGCCGCCAGAACGATAACGGTAAGGAAGTTATATCCCAGTCGACTCCCGAACCATCGCCAGGGGATGAGAAGATCAACATAAGCTACTACTTCCCGGGCCACTCTCATCGCGGAACAATACACTGTGTTGTCGTAATCCAACAGCGGCATGGCCGGAGTAGCAACGGCATATAGCTCAAGAACAACGTTCTCATTATTGAACAAGGTACCTCCGACTATGCAAGCCCGGATGCGCGGAGAAAATGGTCTCCTGTATATACTCCGTATCTGGTCTCGAGATCATCGATATTCCCACATGCTCTAAACGCATCGATGATGGCTATCCCTGCATGCCTCTTCTCCTATCTGCAGCTGCGAACTGAAAGAGTTAGATTGCGGTTACTCGGGATAGCCCCAGCAATCGGGTCCGGTTCCCAATACCTACGGGTCACTTGAGGATGCTTAACCATGTCGTATGGCTTCCCTTCCATGCTACCATGAAACAGGAGAGACAAACATTTGCTACTGTGACATTCGACTCGCCACGTTATCAGATGCTCCAGCGTATAACTCGCTCCCAGCAAGCCACATACAGCTCTACCCCTGACATTAACTGATGTAAAGGTCATCGTAGTATTGGCCTTCTAAGCGATGTACCG